AGGTGAACCTGATCGTTCTAATGTTTGACAAAAAAGCCCAGAATGCATCATTTTGGAGAGAAAAACCACACCATTTGCACAACCCACATGTATCATTTATTCTTGTGATGTGTGAATAAGTTGAAGTTACTTTGGAAGTGTTATCTAGAAAAGCTGAAGATTATCCTGATACAGGAAAAGATCCTGAACCTGCATTCAACAATACCTGAAACCATAGCCAAGGACAGGTTGTGGAGTAACATAAGCAGTATTTTCAGTGAGTACAAATATTGATATGAACTTATTTTAATTGTCAAGTTACCTAAGTCTGGAACACTGTACAACAGCCATATCAAGTTGCAGGTTTGGGCATCTTTTAACAAACAATTCAAGAACATCAATTGCGAAAGAAATGTGAACTGATGGCAGGAATTGTTTCCGAGTAAGCTGGCTGAAGTCTTTTTGTTTCTCCTGTTCTCACGTTTGTAATTTCATTTTAGGGAGTTGTGGTTCACTTCAAGCTCCAGACTGTACAGTAGTCCAAGGGCTCCAAAGCCATGGTAGAGAAACTTGCAGTTGTTTGAAACCTTGTTAGAAGCAGTATGTGAAAGAATCAAATGAATAGTAATCAGCCCCATTTCTTCATGCCAGAAGAATGCACTTTTCCACTGTAATATGTTGAATGCTAATAATCAGCCATTGCAGCAGAATCCTTTCAGGGACATACTGTCTCCGAGTCTCCAGACGATTTCCACCTGGCATGCAGCTGGCTGGTTTTCTGCCAGATCCACACAGCTGTGGTGAGTTACAAACCACACCACAAAGCTGCTGTTATTCCAAGACAAACACCTGTAACGATCACTTAAAGATACTACCAAGTCTTCGAGTACAGGAAGCCTGGAAGACAGAAGTAAGCTGCTACAGAACTAAACTTGCTTTTATCTCCAGATGCACACAGTGAAGATGCAGGCAGTGACTGGGAAGGGGTTACCTATGTTTGTTATAAAAAAAAGCAGCGACTTGATCAAGCAGCACCATGTTACAGCACAGATGATGAGCTTTACAAACAATCAGTAGAACAGTTAAATAGATGACCTGAACTAGAGCCTTATCCCATTAAGATAAGCCAGAAGGCAGCTCACTAAGATTCTCCACAGGAACAAAACACCTAGCAGACTGCTTCAGGTCAGCACTTGAAGAAATTCCAGCCAAGGTTTCCCCAACATCTCCACTTCTCACACAGTCCTGCAACATTTTGAGAGTTACCTCAAATCTTTTATTACTTCTCTGAATTCCAGTATTGAGCCAAGAGAAGCAAAAGGCAACCTGGCCCAGTTTAATCCCAGAAAGAATTAGTGTAAACAAATGTAAGATGGCAAAAGACCACTGAGTACAACTCAACAGCAAACTGTACTATATTAATGATACTTCCTTCTTATAATTTGAAAATAGCAGAAAATGTGTCTGAGTTTCTGAAACACTCAACTTCATGTTAACAAAACAATGTTACAACACAAGCTGGTTAACATACACTTGAATCAAAATCTTCCATTCCAAAACGCTGACCACAGGAGCCAGTTTTTCCAGTGTCACCATCCCATCCAGCGTTTCAGGCATTCAAGAATCAGAATCTGTTTTCCACGTTAGGTGCCCGTCTTAAATGCACCATTATTGGCTATTCAACTATGCTTTCTTCCCTCCTTTTCATGAAAAGTTTGCAATGTTAGTTTTGTTTCTGTCATATTGAGCATTGAAATTTCTTAAGCCAATTTTCTTTTCCAGCCATTTCAAGTTCTAAGCTATTACTGGTTTTCCACAAACATTTAGGCATAAAATAGGTGTGTATAGCAAGTTTACGTGTAGTACTTGTGAAAATAATTTTAACAGGATGTATACCAAGTGTGAGTAACACTAAGTGCTTCTACACTGTTCTCCTATCAAATGTAGGAACTGCCCAGTAACATGTTAATTCACTGCACACTGCTCTCTGCCCTCTGCGTAGCATATCAAGCAACATACACGGTGTTGCTGGCTCTCCATTCCCACACCAGAATAAGCACTGCAGCTCCAACAGATAAGCAGCTGTAGTCCATGCAGTTCCAGGTGATCCTTGGAGTAGCAGTGACTTGAAACTCACTCTCAGCTCCATAGAGAAAATCCCAAGGGCTCATAACTCTCAGCACTCCATGGTCCTTCCCAGCGATGATAAAAGGCTTCAGATTTCAACCTCTGCTTCTCCCGTGCATCACCTTTCCAGACACATGTCAACATACCTGACAGCCCTTATTTTGCTGGACTACTGGCACTTTATGTTAAGTTGTTACATCAAGAGATGATAGACGATTTTCGGCTTCTTGCTGCTATCTCACATCAGATGACAGAAACAAGCTAAGCATTTAGACAAGTGTTGCTTTCAGCAGAGAACCCTTAAGCCTTCAAAACAAAAGCAAGTGACTACTTGGCTACATTTCATATACAATGACATTTACTAACATGAGACCCGTGTCACAAAGCAAAAGAAGAAAAAAAAACCCACACAAAGCAGAAAAAGACCACAGCTCCAACTCAAATGCTGTTAATACAGAAGAACACACCTTCAATGGGAACTGTCACTTTTTTAGAAAAAAATCAAAATTTTCTTTATTTTAAATACTCTGTATTGATAACATCAACATTTCATCTTAATTTACGAAGTCAAAATTCAGGAGTCAGAAATCTGGGTGAATAGTGATAACACACTCCATATTTGCACTGCAGACATGTTACAATAAGGAAGTGAAACTTCTGCTCTAACTAGATCAAGACAGTTTCTCACTCAGACACTGGAATTGCACTAAAGGTATTAAACTTCTGTTCCACTTCCTAGTCAGTCATCTTCCCTTTGATGCCTGAGTAAGGTACACATGTGGTTTACTTCTTGGTTAAAACTTTTACAATCACCAGGAACAAACCAGAAGGAACATATATACAGAGAGGTTAAGTACAGGAGGAAATAAAAATATTAGGGACATTTGTCAGGTTTGTCCTAGAAAGCTTGCAACTAGAAATATGTCTAAGTCAACACCATTCTCCTTTTCTTAGTTGTCTTACAACCCCTCATCTCAAGACACTTCTGAGAAAAATTTCTTGGAGAAAACAAACCAGTTTTTAAAAGGCGTATCTTCAGATTTAAAAATATTTCAGATTTTTTTCTTAAGTGTAATTGACTGTTAATTCAGAATTAAAAATACCTTCCTTGAAATAAAGCCAGTATGTCTACTTGTTTAAATTCCAGTTATGAGTCAGTAAAAAAAAATATTGGAAAACTTTTTTTTTTCCCCAATGAAACATCTAACAGTTCACAGCCAAATCCACATTTCTCAAGCAGTCTGGTTATCAGCCATGACTGAATTTGATATTTTTTTTTTTCTTAAGAGAAGGCATCTCCTTGTTTTTTAGTATGTCAAGAATGAAAGCTGGGATTCCAAAAAACAAATATAAAACACATGACATAGTACAGCGAAGCCATTCATTACAATCTAAGCTATAACTATTTGAAAAACAGCAATGAGCAAATACATTTAAGATCTGTACAGTAAGGGAAGAGACAAAATAACCCCTAGACACATACGTATGAATACTCAAGGCAAGAGACTAAGCACCTGATAGTCACCATCTCAGATGAAATTAACTATTACTGTTCATTTTGCATGTGAATTTAGGCTCACCTATAAAACAAAGCAACCTCTTTAACGAAGACTCAAGGGTAAACCCTTCCAAACTGCCACCTATAGACTGCACCTATAGAGCAAACATTTCTTCACTAAAGAATTGCTTTCACATTGTATTGAACTACTGAGTATTAACAGGATGACAGAAGGTAAACTTGTCCTTTCTGAATGAGCAGAACAAAGAGAAAAACTAAGAACACAGTAATAGACCAAGCAGAATTAATTTAATTCTACCAGCATGAGCAGACACTGATGCAGAGGTATTTTTACAAATTGCTTTGCAGAATACAACAGTGTTATCCTGCTCACTCTTCACCAGGTGTAGTACAAGAGCACTTGTGAGCATCAAGCAGCCCTAGCAGGCGATCCTCAGGAATGCAATGTGAAAGCAAAAGGAAACACGGATGCTAACATAGCTTGACCCCGAGTGATTTATTTTAAGGCATGTTATCTGAGCTTTTGAACTTCCATAAAAACATTTTTTAAAAGTCATATTAAGGCACCATTATTATAGAAGCACTCTCAACAGAACTTAGGTAGGTGACTATGTGGCTCCATATGTAATTGAAGCTCTTTATGCCATTTCTCAGGTAGGCTATACTTTGCCACAGGTACCAAAAATTTACTAAAGTGCCGATGAAGCAAATATTAAAACTGGCGATTAAGTTGCAGGAAGATGCAGTTTCACATTCACAGTCAGTGTCCACATACATTATTTTTACTTCCATCCAAGATAAAAATAGCAAAGCTGAACTGAAACACAATAATGAAGACCCCTCCCCCGACTCCGCTCCAAACGTACAGATAACATCAGATATGTTGTTTGCTATGACCTAGTTTGCACGAAAACTATTCATTAAATGCAGCAGAAGCTTACAGTCTTAACTTGGCTGGAGAACTGAACTAATGAAACAGCATGAATTGGAAGCAGACTACAGGGATGCAGCAAAATTTCAACTTTGCAAGTAAGTTGCCTTTAGCAAAAGCGCTTCTGGTTTTACACGGGTGATTGACTGCACTGGTCCCATGTATTTGCACTGTGAACACTACGTAGCCTGTACAATATGCAAGTACCAGGACCTGGATGCAGAAATATTTTTTGATTTGAGGTAATCAACACATTAAAAAAAAAAAATCTCTTCAACCCATATAACTGTCATGAGGCAAACACCACCTTGAACATTCTTTGGTCACTTAACCGGATGTACATACTTCAACAGATACACAGATATGCACATAAATGCATACATATATATATACATACACATATATATATGTATGTGAGGTAGTGATGTTACAGATGTAACTTGCCTGGGTGAGAAATGAAAGGAACAGAACCAAAGGGATCTTCAGGAGGATTTTTCTGTGGAGCAGAAAGTGGCTCCACATTCTTATCTGAAGATGTTCTCCTGTCCACCAGCCTGTCTGTAAAAAACAAAATGAAACAGAACAAAAAATAAAATAAAATAAAAATGGCAGGTCTTACACCTATGCAAAGCTATCTACTGTACAGAGTGAGGGAGGAATATACTCTCAGTTAGGGGTTTTTAGATGTTTTAAAGATAACCTATAACTTGAATTCATAGTTGATCAGACAAGATAATTCACCTGCACAAACCTATTGTTAACGCCCCTCTCCCACCAAAAGCAGTATGTATTTGTTGATGGAATGCTTAAATTGAGTATCTCTCTTACATATTATATTCAGCGTATGTGCTCTGCAATAGAAACTACTCATCTTCTGTGCTCCTGAGATTCTGAAGTCAGAATCACTATGCTTATCTAAAACACAAAATCATTCATTTTATCCAAGTCTTGGCCAGCCTTTGCCATAGAAAGAAATAAGTTGACCATCACAGCAGAATCACTGGAAGTACTTTTTATTAAACATGTAACACCTGTTAGTACTTAAAAACAATTCAAGTGTCCTATAATATAGAAAAAAATGCATGTTTGGTATGTTCTTCAGTCCTTAGAAGACTTTTTTTATTTTAGAAGACACATACAGAAGGTTTTTAACAGGATCAGAAATTTGAAGCACTACAAATAGTAAATACAAGTTTTGCTGTCTAAGTTCTTTTTCTAACATTGCTACCAACTTATGATCCAGACCATCCAGCCCAACCACCACACTGCAGCTCAAGAGGGTCCGAGCAAGGCCCATCAGGCACTTAACAGTACCCCTGTGATAAGGTATTCCACCTGTAGCTAACATCCTCCATCCTCCAGCAGAAGACACCACATTTTGCTTTCCCCCCCTTTTCACAACAAGCAGCTGCTCTTACAAACAATTTGTAGCACAACCTTCTTGACAATTTGCCCTCAGAAAGATTCAGCTGAATTGTGCCCTAATTACATACCAAACTACCTGCACGCTTCCTATTCAGCTTTTCAATCCAGCAACCAGAAGGCTTTGCTAAACCAACCACCAGGGACTAGACAGCAAGCTCATCTACTTCAGAGATGCATATTAATTCTGTGTACAAAGCCCAAGAGTTTTGAAATTACATGCTAGTATTCACACACACTTGTTCTGTCCGTAATGTGAATTGTCTTACTCCTACCTACTGTGAGACTGTCTGAAGAAATACAAGTGGGAGTTGTTCCATTACAGGCAACCCCTTCTTAAAATACAATCCCAGCTGGGGGCCCCTAGTGCAGGACACTAAGTAGTTGCTCTCACCTCAACATATATCTATTGACATAGGCAGGGACTAACCTGAAAAAAAAAAATTATCCTGCAGTAGAGAATACTAGGCACAAAGACTAGCAGCAGTAAGTTTGATACCACTGGCTTTGAGCCTTGAAAACAGCTGCCAATCATCACATCCAACAGCAGTACTTACTCCTGACTGAGCAGTCATACCCATATTGCTTTCCTCAGGTTTTGGTTTTTTGTTTTGCCTTTTTTTTTTTTGTTGGGGGGGTGGGGTGAGGCCACTGTGTGTGGTAATGGATTGCGGGTTTTTTTTTTTGTTTTGTGGGGTTTCATTTTTGGTTGGTTGATTTTGGGGATGGGTATTTTGCTTTGTTGATTTTTGTTTGGGGCAGGCTTTTTTGAGTTTTGTCTTGAAAGACCTGTATGTGACCTTCAACTTGCATCTTTATAAATGCAGGCTGAGTGATAAATGCTTTTGTTCTATTATACCTAGTCTCTTGCCCCCAGAGGAAAACCAGTTGACAGCTGCAGAAGGCAATCAAACTCTAGAGCAACTTTTAAAGGTGCAACAACTTGAACCACCCTTTGAAGAGCCCTTGCAAATGCTGGCATGCAACACTAGCAAATTGAAGCCCCCAGATGATGACTGGATCTCCCAGCTTGAGCAGCAGGGCTAGGGATAGCAGAAAACAAATGAAATGCTAAGCATGCAAGAAAAATTAGGTAAAGTGAGTAAATACAAAGTTTCAGCTTCTCCATGGCACCTAGGCATATATGTACAGGATACATTTCCCTGGAAAATAAAGTTTAAAATTTGTCAATTCATCAAGTCTCAAGCTACTGGAAACGGACAAGCCATTTTTCCAGTCTTCTGAGGCACAGTTATCATTTGTCCACCTCAAAGTAAGATCTACTTCTCTTTACCTGAGAGTGCTTGAGAGAAAAGAGACAGCAATGGTTTCTCCAGCTTCACACAAGCATAAGTAGATTAATTGGGACTACAGTATGAGACATTATTGTGCTTCAGATGCAACTTCCTTAAAACAAAGATCCAAGGTTTTTTCCCCTCAGTGAATAATCATCCCAATGCAGCACAAACTGCTGCCAGAGACACCACCATGAGCCACGGGGCATAGCGGACCCTTCCACAGAAAAGTGCAGTTATTTAAAACCACAAGCAAGGAATCCAGCTCTTTCCATTCAAGTGACAGGCCCAAGATTCCTCAGGAGACAGCTCTCTCAGGACTTGCTGAAGCACGAGAACCACTTATGCACAAAGAAAGCCTGCTAAGAACCACAGCTCTTTCCTGCACAGATGGCCTAGGTAGTTCCTTCCTACTGTACATGTTGTGAAGGCGATGGGCAGAGAGGTTCATAGGCTTTGTGCCCACACGTGTCTGTTGAAGCACCGAGATGATTCTGGGCCTAACAGGAACAGAGTGCAACTCAACGCGAAGGCTGCACTGGTATTTTTTCCCAGTGAGAAAGCAGATTCATCTTTTTGGCTCACAATTCTGCACAGGTTAAGTGGTTACAGGAGCAACTTGTAAGAAATCCATTTCTTCACAATATTGTCAGAACCTCAGCATCATGTGTTGCTTCTGGACCATCATAAATACCAACCATAACAACCACAACAACAAAAACAGAGGAACAACAGTGTACACAAGAACCAGGAACTCCACATCTAAGTCCTGCACAAAGGTGCTTGCAGTTCAGATATCTTTATTCAATTGCACAGTTCATTTTACTGTGAAAACTTTCAAAGTTTAAGCATGGTATTATCCACTATGGGTTTGCTTCCCCTTTAAAGGAAAAGTGAATAATTATCACAGCAGTACCCATCAGTACACACACTATGACATTAAGCTACTAAATGCATGAAATCAGACAGTAATGTTAACCTGACAATTATGACACCTTGATACTCAAACAAAGGCTGTGTATGTGTTATTACTCGTGTATTACTGTCATGAACATAACAGCTGTAAAAATATTTGACAAATTAAAAAAAAAAGATTTATGTATAAAGTATCAGCTCAATAATACAAACCAGGCTTTTGGAAGTGGAAAGAAAGGATTAATGATTTGAATGTTACCCAGCACCACATAACATCACAGAAAGACAAACTTACACAACACTGTACATGAGTTATAAAGCACGGGACAATAACCAGGTTTAGTAACAGAAAATACAACTGTTTGTCAAAGCTGTATCTTCACCTCTCCTTCCTCTAGATGGCGAAATGATTCACAGTAAACTCAAAAAGAGATCAAAAAAACCTACTTAGTAATAGTGTTTTCTCATAATAACTTCCATCTAAAGAGAATTAAGCCTTGCTCCTAAAGTATTATGAAGAAATTCCAGAAAGTATTATACAGTCAAAGACAATTTTATAGAAATAGGCCTTATTAGTACAATAAACCTCCCGATTTCTCATTAATCCACCTGAGAAAGTAACGGTAGACAAAATTAAGTACAGATATTTCTGCTTTGACTTAAGTAAAATCATGAATACTGCAAAGTAAGTTCATATGATCTTTGGCACAACATCCTTAATATCAAAACTGAAAGTTAAAACATCTTTGAAGAAGCCTTTGATATATATGCCTGTGTGTCCACATAAATACACATACACTAAGATTAAAACTAGCAGTGCTCCCCCTCTGGACCTCTAACAGAAATCAAGCCAAAAGACCTAAAAAAGCTCTAGCTCATGTTACATATAAACAAGCCTGACATCTAGTGTACCATTTGTCGAGGTTTTTTTTTTTTTTTTATGTTCTCTGTATTGAAGTGACTAAAGCCCCCTTATTTTGGCAATTATGGAGCAAAACTATGCTCTTATGTTTACTTTCTGATACAAAATATGAAGTTTATTAACACATTCAGCTCTTCTGCACTCTGAATTATCTTCATTAAGAGGTGGGCCAAAAGCATACCTAAGTAGATTTACTCTTTAGAAAATTTAGACTATTTTCACACATACAGTACAAAAACTGGATAAAGGAATTATAGTTGTAGTTAACTGGTCTTTTTGCTGGAACTCTAGGTACAGCAGTTAGTGGCATTTAGCTTCAAGTTATTTTAGCCTTTACTAAGTCTAACTGTTTGCATCCAGGTCAACATTTTCACGGAGAGGATTGTCAAGCATTGGAACAAGCTGCCCAAGGAAGTGGTTGAGTCACCATCTCTGGAGGTGTTTAGAAGACATGTAAACTGGCACATAGGGACAGGCTTTAGTGGTAGACTTGGTACTGATAGGTTAACAGTTGGATTCAAGGTTCTTTTCCAACCTAAATGATTCTGTGATTTTCTATTTCCCCAGCTTGCTATAATCAGCCTGTTGAGTCACTCCATGCAAGCATATTTCTTGTATAGCATTTTCCAGCTTTTATGTAAAGCCACTTGAAATATGTCCTTGGTTAACATCTTCTGTACTTACATTTGGTCAAGAAAGGTGGCTTAACCAAATAAATCTCATCAAACTTACCCTAACTACAGTCAACAGTCCAACAGTCAGTTCAAAGTTCTAGAAATGGGTAATGCTAGGCTGACCTTTTGGTGCAAAAGCTAACTTTCATCTAGATTTAAGAGTATTTTTTCAAAAGGCTTTTAAGCCTTCAATTGGAAGCAGCACACCTAAAGATACTCAATTTTACTACAAATAATTTCAAACTCTAAACTTGGATTTGGAAAGAATGCTTACTTTTCAGCTGGTATATTATCCATTTTCCTCAGCTAGCAGTAAGTCATTTTACTCTAAAGCGTGTGCAGGCTACATCCACATCTCAGAAATAAGAGTCTTATTTGATCAACACAGGACACAAATGAAAACAATCAACTGGCATTTCAAGAAAAATAACCCAGTCACTTTCCTTAAAGATTAACAGGTAATGTGCACATCTTGTTCAGCTACATTTAAGGACACAGAAATCCAAGAAGAAAAAGTCTCAACTGAAGGCATAGGGGTTTTTTTCCCCCTTACTTGAAATTCAACCTTACTGCATTTTTAATTGAAAGGAACTTGCTGATACTCAGCTAAATATATACAACCTGGTTTTCGACATTGTCACATCTTACAAGTAAATAAATAAATAACTCTGATCTTGACAAAACCAATTTTAGGAAGAGGATCTCATGAACATGTGTTAAACAATTAAGAGAGGAAGTAATTCCAAGTAAAAATCATCAAGATAACTGACTCGAGAAAGAAAAAGTTTATTCAACTATTGCCATATCAGAACAATGAAGCAGCCCTTACATGTAGCCACTCATCAGAAAGGACATTACAAAACATTAACATAATGTAATAGATCAATTTTCTTTCAGGCATTTTCAAAGGACAAATCAGACCCACAGAATCTTCTGCTCTGGTGTGCAAGAAAAAAGCTGGAAAGGAACAAAGCAAGCAGCCAAACTTTTCTTCCTATCTGACAACACACCTCTGCTATTCAGAGCTTCTTGACAATCAAGGTGACACAAGCAGTATAAGAGCTAAGATATTACCATTTCTGCAGTATTTGAGCCAGTAAGTACCAATTTTAGACAGTGAGTTCCTATTGCACACATTTTCAAAAAGGGAAAGGAAAGGAGACAGGCCCAACTCCGCCCTCAAATGCTCAGAAAGAATTTTCTGTACACAGACCGCACGGCCCTTCCACAAGACAGGTGTTGGAACTGCAACAGAGCAACTACAGAGCCCTTATTTACTGTGAAGCAAAATAAGCCTTCAAGCGTCCCTTACTTGATCTTAGCAGGTCAAATTCTCTGTCCAGCAGCTCCTCCTCTGTCAACTTGGAAAAATTGTCCTCTCCAAATGGGTTCCAGCCTGACATATCAGGTGGGTTATTGATGCTCTGCTTTGGGTAACTGGGAATTGCTTCAGCATCAGGAATACCTGACCTGTAGTCAGTTCACGGAAACAAATAAAGAGAAACATTACAGGATTGTTTATCAGGATGAAAATCTGTACCAGGCTTCATTAGGCCAAAATACTACATACAATTAACACACACACAATAACAGCTTATCTCAAAAGCATCTTTAAGCTATTTTAAGGGAAAATGGATCACTTGGAATATGTGGTTTGATGACATAATTTCTGTATGCAATCCTTGGACTTTTATTTTTCAATTTATTAATTGTAGCCAAAGCACATAATCTTTCATCAAGATGACATGCAAGGGCAAAAACTCTTTCACCTGTGGTCATTTCTATATTGCCATAGGACACTGCCTTGTTTTCCTCAAAAAGAGCCTACTACATACATTTGAAGTTTTCATCGGTTCTCTTTATTTTCAAGTTATTTTTCCTTTGTAAAGACATTAAGTATCTTTGACTCCTACATACATCCAATTAGTACAATTAACTTAACCAGGTGACATAATAGCTTCTTCATGTATTAGTCTTAAGTACACAGATAATGAAATCTCTGACCAGATGCATTTTTCATTTCATGCAAGTTTTAGCAGGTGACGCCTACCACTTCTCTGTCTGAAGCAGACCAGAAAAGCAGCAACCAGCAAGTGACTGCATGCTAACAGGTTCTGTGTCTGTGATTAGGCAGGCTCTGCAGGACACACCTGCAGCCCCGCTCCATGTCCAACCATCTCTTCAAGACAAGAGAAAGGGGAAGGGGCTTCTTCCTGTCAGCACGGGTGCTGCCACCCCAAAGACTACCAGCTCTTTCCACTGAGAGAAGGACGGCATGCGATACAACCCAATGCATTTACTACATCAAGTGAAAAGAAACTTACCACCCCCTCCATTAATACAAGAAGTAATAAGCATACAAGTATATTCTTCGTTTACAAGATCAATCTCATGCCTTGCAAGCCATTGCTAACTTGCAGTCATTGAGCTGAAGCTAGACAGCAGGATCAAAATCTTCAGCCAAACACACAGAAGAGAAATTAGAAATGTATGTATTTGCTTCCAGACTGGAATCATTCCTTTCAGACACTATGTGTCAAAAGTACTCTGGCAATAGACCTTACTGAAATATAACTGGTAAGTCTCAGATATGGGCACAGAAGTGTGGGACAACACTCTCTGCTAGGGATTAGACTAATTGGCAAGATGAAGCCAAAATGGTCACAGTGATATATTATATCAATCCAGCCTATCACAGGAAATAGTTTGCTTTTTACATTTTCAACACGTGGTAACCCAGGAGACACTAAAAATGACAGCAGGACCTGAAACCTGTAAGCCACACTATCAATTGAAAGCCTGTGTTGAGACTGACTGCAAAGACTCAGCAATCCCAAAATTGCAAAGGACTTCTCTTCGAATATAGTATAGTAAGAACCTATACAAATAGATAACTTAGTTCATAACATTAGTGAAACTGGACAAATATGTGGATTTTTTAATTTTTAAATCAGAAGAGAAAGGGTTTTTTATTCCACATACAGTTTTTCATAAGAATTAATGGGAAAGTCATTATATATTATACTTTATTAAACAAGTTGAGTCCAGAGGCCCCTGGAAAGGGACCGTATCTCTGATAAGGCGTACTCTATCATGTAACATACTTAAGTCCAACCTCTGATCAATAGACACAAGAATTAGAAGCCCTAGCAAATAAATGCCAACTGTAAAGTCTCTCTTACAAAGAGTGTTTGAGATAACTTTCACACACACATAATCTCATTCAACACGGGCTACTAACCACCCTAAGCAAAGTTAGTTCCTGGAATAAGTCAATGAACAAGAAAAAGTAGAAGATGGGTTCTTTAAGAAGTTCTATCAGGTTCACAAGTTAAGTGTCCCATCCTCCTCCCAAAATATCCTTTACCATTAGACAGCAACTATCTAGCTGCTTCAACTAATACCTTACTATTGAAGCAAGTAATTTCTGAAGAAACAATTTAGCTGTGCTCATCACAATTAGCAACGTAAGCAGTAAGTAACCCTTGGGTACATCTGTGTCAGAATACATGCCTGCTTGTGGGGTAGGGACAATCTGCCACTGTTCCAGCATGTGCTGGAAGTGACCCAGGGTAGGAGATTAAGGCTGGTGAGAAGTCTTGTGGAGAAGTGATATATTCAGGAGACTGTGCCTGTTGTGACCGCTGTTGCTGCTGAGCCAGCATCTGTTGCTGCAGGAGAGCCTGCTGGTATTGCTGCACCTAAGAAAGATAATGATCATGTTATTAAAAGTCACACGGGCTAGCGTGAATCTTTTCCACTAAGTAACAATACCACCCTTGCAGCCAAATGCACTAACCACCACTGCACTCCAGAAAAGTTTAGTAGCTTCAGCAGAAGCAAGAAGCCAGACCTGTCCATTATATAGGTGAAAAGAAATGGCCCCAACAGATCAGTGACAGTTTTTCCTCTTCCAACATATTAATCTTTAACTTTTTGTCATTATTGCAACCTAAGTATATACTACTGCAGTGCTAAAATGTTAAACATATCCTATTCTTAAATATTAATAATCAAGATGTCACTACAGTTTCTCCCGACTTCTGAAAAACACGATTATGCCAGTTAGCTTTCTTGCTTTTAAAGACGGAATTTCATGCCACCATGTCTCCTATCACTTTTTAGCTTAACACACATTCATTGCTGTGCTCGCTACTGGAAGCCTTAAGCACCAACTATGTTTCAAATTTGTATTATACCTACTTAAGTTTAGTATATATCCCATCCAATTAATACAGACATGCAACTCCGGATAAGCTTTTGCAATCAAGTTTGAGTTAGTTTTCTTTCTCCCCAACTGAGTAACTATTAATCACATCCACATCTCATTACACCTACTCACAAACTTCTCTTATTACATCTTCATTACAAACTTACAAACACAGCACATATTTTAAGACTGTACCATCTACCCTCTGTTCGTGACATACCATAGCAGGATACTGAGATTGGGAAGGTTGCTGCTGGTATACAGACTGCATCAACAGCTGCTGCTGGACCATCTGCTGGTGCATTGCTTGTTGATACTGTAGTTGAAAGTAAGAAAATAGCTTTAAGAAGTCATGATCCCCACTTTAGTAATAACCAGATATTTAGAAGCAGCATTAATTAAAATATCACGTCTGTGACTCAAGAGCATTTTTCAGTTAAGACATCACATAACCAAGAATCACCTTGCAATTCAGTCACTGCATTTTAATGACTCTTGTGTTTAGAAGCGTTTCCATTTCCCTCCCCCCCCGTCAATTAATACCAGCCTGTTAAGCAAAAAATTAGACAACATTCAGCACTGTCTTTTCTGAGGCAGGCCAATTAACATCCCAACTTTTGCCCTTTTCACCAGTGCTGAGCCACTCTGGAAAATAATTCAGCTGTGCTTCAGAGAATAACATGTCTCAACATAGGGAAAAAGAGGAATAACAATAGGTGTCTGGGACAGAATGTGAAAGTTCTTGTCTGACCTAGTCACTCTTCTGTTATGATTACAGTTATTTATGCTACACAAGTTAAGCAATTATACCTGACAGTATGCAAGCTGGACAGTGTTAGAACACGTGTCATCCCTGAAAAATCTGGGTGGACAGAACAATTACAAAAAGGAAGCTCTTCATTGACCAAGAAAAATTGAAGGCAGCAAAAACAGCAAAAAAAAATCCTACTCAGATGGTGTACGTACAACCATCTACTGCGAGTATAGCATCATCGCCTAGATTATTCCTAACACTTCTCAAGCACATTTACACACTCATAAAACCTTTATTTCGGCCACATGATGGTGATTCAAAGCAAGCTGGGATTCACGGGCATGCTGCAAAAAGACAGCACAAAGAAAGCAAGCGCATCTGAAGACACAAATCAAAGGTAAAAACAAGGGGCAAGAGCCAAGATCCCTTTCTCTCTCCTACCAGGAAAAAAAAACAAGCCACAAGAGCAGAAATGCTGAACTAGCACATGATTCCAAGTGTTATTAACCAGCATAATGTATGTGTCTCAGAAGCCTGTCTCACAGATTTGACTTGTACCTGCTGAAGGTAAGCATCCTGAACTGGAGGTTGCTGCTGCTGGTGATGTAAATGGTGGAGCTGCTGTAGTCTCCAGTCCCCTTGCTGCAGCTGTTGCAGAACTCTGTTCTGCTGCGGGGGGTGCTGGTTGGTCCCCTGGGACTGTAACATTTCTTGTGTATTCCCTGCTCGTGTGGTTCCTGCAATAGCCAGACAATATTATTGACATACTGACCTCTAAAGTTCAGCTAGCTAGAGCACTCCCTGACAGTGAACCTCTTTATTTAACACGCCAACGTGAAACACTTTATTAACCTCCCTTCACAGTCTGACAACTAGTAGAGCTGGTAGATACTAAGTTCTCTTCCCTGAAAATACTTACAGGATGCAGGAAGCTTCACTTGGTCTCACAATAGAGGAAGCTGCATTCAAGACTTCTGCTTTACTAACACTGAAGTCGTACCCTCCACTGTCTCAAACCCTAAGCCTCGAAGCATACAATTTTGTATGCATAAAACACATACTTTTTTTTTTTTAGGGAACTATTGGCTTACTTGTTAAATTCCCTTCAACAGAACACTTAATTTTGTCATTCAGTTGTTTTTTCAGCCTTTTAAGCAAGCAGTTACTAACATAAATCAATCTCTCTTGCATCCTCTATTTATATTATGAAGCGTGCAGGTATGACCTGTTCCTTGTCATAACAGGGAAAGCTTTTCAAGTCGGATGTTATCTGGATCCTGTCTAATAAAAGTTGTTTACACTTGGGACACAAGCATTCTTGGTGTCCTGTTGATGGGAAGCTTTCCCAGTACCATCCCTGAAACTACTCTTCCTGTGTTGTCATCACACACACATCAGAGTATAGCTAGGAAAGGACCAGAGATGTAAATGAAAAGTATTCAAGTGAATATTTATCAGAGCCATAACTCTTCTTTGATTAAGAAAAACTTAAGGGATTTGCTTAAAACCCATCTCTCGATTGAGTCTCTCTCAATTACTCCTCTGTTACTCCTCTATTGCACCCACAGTGCAACGTGAAATGCATCAGTCAATCATTAGGGAAGTGTAATTTTAACACGGTTCCATCCTATAAATAATACCAACATATTGTTGATATCTCATGACTCACTGAGGCAGAAGGAAAATATTTTTCCTACTACAATGAAATCAGTTTGTTATAGAAGAACTCAGTACTTTGTGATTTATTTGAAAGTCAAAACTGAGCACGAGCTTCTTTCACAGCCTGTGGTGGGAAAATTAGTGCAAAATCAGTGTTATGCACAATGAAAAAAAATACCTTCACTTCAACAGTTTTCATTTAGTTTTTGTGGCACCTGGTCAAACTTATTACTCTTACATTTAGAGGCTTTTGAAAAGGATGAAGATTTGGGTTTTGGCATATAAAAAAAAGCATATGAATTTGAGTTTTAAATGTTATCCCTACTGGAGCAAGAAGGAAAAGACATGCAATATTCACTCTTCATTTTTTTTGGTCCATCCTTAGACTTTAAGTTACCTTTTTGCCCACGACTACCAAATTCACCAGGGACTTGTACTTTGACTGGAGTCGCTGAGCTCTGGATCGTCAGCACACTAGAAGTTGCAGTGCTTGAATTGGCCTTTGGTCTTTGCCGTGGTGCAATTGAGGTTTCTGTTGGTCCAACAGTATCTGTTATTCTGAAATGGCAAGTATTCCCATAGAAATGACTTGATTAAAACACTGACTGTTTCTTCTTCAAATTAGACACAGCATATCTTAATAGCTCAATTATGTCTTAACCATGTGCTGCTCTACTTCTGGTTTGGATTTTAATAGCTTAAAATTTGCTTCCTAAAATTCCACTCCTCACCCATCACAGACATAGGATACACAACTGCAGAACACCATTAAGAAGGAATAACGCAACAGTCTCGTTCCTCGGGAGACCATGACACTAGATGAAATCTCTTTGTATAAGTTTTCCTCAGTTCACAGTTTTGAGTGGAAGTTATGTCCAGCACTTGAGCTGGCAATCCTATGACTAGAGATATGAGTACTGTTCATACTTAAAGGAAATAAGATGAAGAAAAATCCTATATGTTAGTACAAAAAAGGTAATGTTTTATCATAAAAATCAGAATTTTTGAAAGAACAAAATCCACCACTTACCTTCAGCAATCAAATTTGATTTGCATATTTAAATAAAACTCCTAAGAACAGTTTACCTGTACCATATTATCCTCACCTGTCTCAAATCTTTTATTTCAAAATGCAGTCATCACACTGGGAGAAAATAAGAGAGCAGATCAGAGAGACTGCTAGCACGCACTTATTCCACCACAGAACAAGCTCTCTGTTTCTCCCCATGGATTCTTAATGCAATGCAGAAAGCAATGGAGTGGAATTCAAAGACAGGCTTAAAGCTCTTACAATTGCAGTTTATGTATTCTAATGACCTCTGCTACTAAGGCAGTTTTTCATTTACTAACAAGCATATGAAAACAGGTTTCAGACAAGCATGGAGCTTAACAATATTAACAAAAGAAAAGTAAAACTACATCCACTGCTCACCTTGCTTTTATTTGGGTTTTTCTAGCAGCTGCCTCACTAGCTGTCATGGGTTCAGGAAGAGTTGAAGGGACAGGAGAGTTCTTGGAAAAAATAAATTTGAATAAATTAAAAAATGAAATCCTGAAAGAAAAAAATCATTACATATTGAAGAGGAACACTTGGGTTGAAGTTTTTCATGTTATATGGCTTCATGCAGAACTCACGCAGCTGCAAATTAAGTGTTTTTATTTAACAGTATATCTATTCTCTTACCTGTTGCAAAAGTAGAATAAAAACATTACAGGAATGTTCTGTGAACTACTTCATTCACACACAACCAACTAGCAACAATAAAGTAAAACATTTTCTCCAAATGTTTTCTCATAACTGCACTGAACAGAGACCTATTTCAGCCTCAAGTTTAAGGACTAAATCAAAGCCTAACCTTTGGATGAAACAACAGTGTTTTTTTCACCCACTCATCTCTTCCACCACAACACAAATTCCAGGAAATCATGCCACATCTAAGTGTCTATGGTCCTTTAAGTTATCCCCATTTCAGTCAACTTCCTGAATTAATTACATTTCACCTAAACCACACAATCATGGAAAATGGCAGTTTTGGGGGAGGGAGGAGGAAGACTATCTCTAATTATGCATGCACTGCCTCCTTACATAAACAACACAAACCTAAATCTGGTCACAAAGAGCAGAGACAGAGTTAGTAACCAAATATTGCTTGTGAACACTACCATCGGTATTGGAATTAGTCAAGATTCTAAGACAGAGACAGGCATCCTTCCAACTTTCCTTTGCAAATGTAAGGTGCTGTCAAAGACCATATACTGCCCTCGTCCAGCCTCTTTTCTAACCTCTATTTCTAAAACCTTACATTCTTATGTTCTCCTGAAACTCAGAGGAAGGGTCAGGGGGGTCCATGCGCACACCTGTGTGATGCTTCTCTTTTAAGGCAGCCCAGGTGCTGGAGGGGCAAGCACTACCAGAAGGAATCAACAGCAACAGACAGCAGGGCATCGACAGCTGCTCTTACTGCTGTTTAAACACACCAGTGGAAAAAACACACAACCAAACAGCTTCACTGTGTAAGAATACTCCAGGCCCTTCCACTTTCCTATGCCTGTCACAAGGCAAAAGGCCAAATAAGGAGGCAATTTCTATCTGCACAATAAAAATAAATAAAAAAAAAATAAAAAAAAAAAAAATCAAAAACCAGACACATTCTCGAGTCACCTGAGTGAGGTGATACTATTCCTCCAATGAGTAACATAGTAAATATCCAAACTGTTATGTCAAGATATACTGATATTTCAGGATAAAGTGTTCAAGAGAAAGTATAGTTATTGCATCTCCTGTTCACACACTGCAACAGAATAATGCAAAACCATTCAAACCACTTGAAATTTATCCTTTACCTAGAAAACCTTGAAGGACTTGCTGTTACTGATTTTTAACCTAAGTTTCCAAAAACCACACATGTTTACTGAGTACCTTCTACAAAGATCAATAATGAAGGCATTCAAAGGGGATCTCAGTAAATTCACTCATCTGCCTCTGAAGGCAGCTTACTATAACTGACAGGTGTTCCAAAACAAATTGAGATGTATTTTTCCTGATGCTTATCTTGAAAATCGCTTTACAATACTGAACGTTATTAACGTGCCCTCTAATTTAATTGCACAGTAATTAGATCTGTGAATGAGATGATCTTTGAAAGTTCAGACTTTTCAACGAAGTTGAAACTCACACAGAAAGTAAGGGTAGGAACGCAGGCTAACCAAGGCACTGTACTGCTTGCCTTCCAGTTCACTGTAGTCCTTCCGACAGATTAACATAATTAAGGATGATTAAGAAAAAGGGTTTATCCAGGACAAACATAAATGCTCTTGACACTATAGTTACAACCTTCTATTTTCAAGAAGTTTAACTTCTGTAGTGTATTTCATATTAATTGGATTAGAGACAAGAATAGTAATGGTTATAACCTAAATCAGGTATTGGGGCAGTATCCATATAATTCATGAAGCTATTACCTCAAAATTAAAAAGTATTTTGTTTAGAGAGCCAATATTGCACATACACAATAGCAGCTTGAAGTTTACTCTGCTCTATGCTTTAAGTTTAGGATTGAGCTTTATTAAGAAATTTATATAATCTCTCTCAGATGATTTGATAGACTTTTCTCAATGCTACCTACAAAAAACCACTAAAAATACGGAAAAAAATTAAACACTACTTACATTAATATTAGACACAGGACAATCCTTTTTGGCAAGTTTAAAGGCAAAGGAAGATACTTGAAAGATATCAGGCCTCTGTTCTTGATCTGGTTCAAGCATGTATCCTGCAAAAATGGATAAAACCAAATTATCACTGTTGGATATCAAAAAGCCTGTTGAGACAGCATGCCACCAACAAGAAGAAATTCAGCAGCTCTGCCAAATGAGCTTACCTCAGAATGAGTTATTTCTATTGTTTGTTTGGGGCTTTGGTGTTTCTCTTTTTCCCCCAATTCTTTTTTGTCAAGTTAAATTGTTTCTAGGGTCAAATACAATTGGAGGACATGTACGCTGTTTCATATTTTGACACTCAGTTGTAGAAAGGGTAGCTAAACTGAGACAGCAATTAATAACTTCAGAGAGAGACAACATAAACCCAACTCATAGTATTAGAATCTACGGTTAACACAAAATTCACTGTAGCTAACAAGTTTCACAGATATATCTAAGTACATCAGGCTATGGTTCTACATCATCTTTTACCTTGCAGGTTTAGTTGGCTATTCACACTTTTGTATATTAAAGAAAATATAGTTCCATGGATAGAAGGGCTTTCTTCTGACAAGATACTAGAATTTGACGCCCCCTTCAAACATTAGCTTCCCAAATGAGAATATTTGGTGGTTTTCAATAAAAGCTACTTTATACTGTTTACAATATGATATATAGAGTACATAATCAGAAGTCTTGCCTAAATGACTGCAGAATCTAAATAAACAGTGAAAAATATCTTTTAAACAAGCTAAGCCTCTAAAAATATGTTCAGCTACAAAGGAAATAGGCAACACATAAAACTTCTCAGTTTTGATGAGAAAGTTGTGCTGCATTTCCAGAACTGTCCAGTAGTACAACCAACCTCAAACAAGATCTTGTAAAAAGTTTTGAAGTAATTTATTTTTCAAAAAAAAAATTTTAAGACAGATCTTAGAATTTTATTCAAAGGCATTACTTCATAGCCAATATAGTGCACAGCAAGTTTTCCTTTTAATGGATTTTACAAAATAGAGCAGATTTAAACACGCAGTGACAGCGCCATTAAGTGGAAACAGAACATTTATGAAGTGACTCCTGCCACTTGATTCTGACATGTTAGATCTATGAGGTGGAGAATGTTTAGCTTCTCACTCCCCACACCCCACCTTGTAAAAGAACTTAGATGAAGCCAGAAGACCCTGAAATACCTTTTATGACCAACTGGAGCTTTTTTTGGCTTCCATTCCAAATGGAAAGAAGGGAAGCTTACATTATCAGATTCTTCCCCACCCACACATATTTCATGCCAGTAATGCTCATCTTGGCACAGCGGTTCATTGAATCTTAATAAATCAGCATTCATACTTACAAAGAGACAGGACTAAAACCTGTACTCTTCTAAATGTAGCACTGTGACACAGCGAAGAGTATTTAATCACTTCAGAATTAATCTCATTTTGTTAGTTAAGTATGTGCAGAAGATAAATGCTTACTGTGGTAACTGCTATTTCTCAGTTAGGAATGTGTGCTCAAAAAAGTGGTTTGGACTTGTTATTTCCCATTCTACAGAAGCATAAAGTATGTGGTCAACACATTCATAACAAAAGTTATATGAGCTCCTATTCAAACTTCCTGAATTTTTCACATTCTGTGTCATACTCTTTCAAGTTAACCTGCTCAAAGTTGAAAACAAAGACAACTGGAAATACTCATTATTACTGTAAATATTAGATTATGTATCTCTGTACCTAGATAACAGATTAATTGCTAGCCTCAGAGCTTGGTGTTCTCCAAAATTTTTGTTCATACCCTGTGCTTTCAAAATTTTGCCAGAGTTCATGTCCAACACTTTGGGTTTAACAAACTTGACCAGATTTTTGTTCTGTTATTAAACATGAAACTACTATCAAATTCTCCCTAGTGCAATTTATCTCAGTACATTTATGTTTCAACACTAAACCCACATTTCAAATTCATCTAAGCACAACTGCCCAACTTGGATAGAAAATACTATTAACGGTCTGACATTTCATAGAAAATATACACTGAAGAGCAAAAAGGAATTATGAATAAATTAAGAGCTACTCTTTCCATTCCCCTTAACCCTTTGTGGGGTGCCACCTAAGAAGGAAAAAAAAAAAAAAAAAAAAGAAATAAAAATCATCCATGCCTCCCAAAGAAACGAAGAGGTTCTTTTAACTTCAGTAAAGCTCTTCTGAGATACAATTTAATCTGGCAGGTCTTGGCAGTGTTTCATTCCACTTCAATTCTGAAGTTATCAACTCATCCATTAAATGCCCAGAATACAGTAGGTGATTTTAACACATCACCTGTCCAGGAGAAAGACTTGTTTGTACTTCATTAACCTGGCTCACTTCTAGAACCATTTCAAAGAAGTTTCCTCTAGGTTTCTGAAATTCCTCCTTGGGCTGGCACCTCAGTTCCATACCCTGTGGCGGCAGCCCTCCCCTGAGCAAAGAGACAAGTGAGCCTCCTTCCAAGGCCAAGTGCAGGAGCTACAAGACAGATGGTAGCCAGGAACAACTCCAACTGTTCACTCAAGAACCCAGACAGTCTGCACCACCCATCCAAGTCACTCGCCTACACTAGCAGGATCTTCCGTGTTTTGAGTTATGAGGCAAAAGATTTGCCTTGCTGCCCACATACTTACTTATCAAACAGTGTATACTATGAGAGTATCGGGAATTGTCTGGAATGGTAAAGCTTCCATCGCAAATAGCAACTTGACTTTCTCCAAAGGGAAGTGAAAAGAAACAAAGTTTATACAGCAAGCAGCCAAGTGCCTGCAAAAAACAAATACAGGCACCGTAAAAGGATGAGAGTAAGCATTTTACACAATAAAGCAGCACCAACAAGAAACAAATTGCATCCTAGCTACAGCTGATGCTTACACTGTTATGTAGAAGCTGCATTATGAAACACTGTGTGGATGTGACAAGCTGATATATAAAGCAGCTCGAAAAAGTCTTTCTTTCACTGACTCCTATGTTAGGCAACAAACTACCAAAATTAGAGCATAACCAAGGGCTGCATTCACATCGTTGTATCACCCAGTGATACCACTGGCATTTATGCTGAATTTAGTCTTTATTTACTTCACTGCATATCACCTAATAAAAACACCCTTCCTCATCATGCGGCCAACAGGTTTCCACAAGAAATCACTGGTGACTATCAAGGAGCAACCTGAACTGACAAAAAGGAATTCTATCCCCCTTAACTCAAAACGATCACCACACATGGCATTAATTTTATTTACAGAAGATGCAGTTACCAAAGATACCTCTACTATATTCTGCATTGCACCGCTACATGATATATATCACTTTCAAATAGTTAATTTTTCAGTTAGTCATTGCTGTTTTTAACTCCCCCCCCCCCCCCCCCAACTTTTACATTAGTTCCATAGTTCATAGTGCCTGATTTTTTTGCTTACCCAGATATCTGCCTTGGTAGTAATTGGTTTTCCTCCATAAAGATTGATCATTTCAGGAGCTCTGTATGATAGTGTTGTATACCTAGCAGTATATAATTAAAAGGGGACAGAGATGAAAAGTGTGCCTCAGAACTGAAAGCGTGTTTTCCTGCACCTGCCATCCACACACCATTCACACCCAAGTTTCAGACATGTGCACAGAATTGTCTTATGCAATGCAAATCATTTATTGCTTTTGCAGCACAGAGAATATCTGCAGTAGCAACAAAAAAAATATCATACATAAGTATTAAGGTCGCTAAAATTTGCTTTTCATGTTATTTACCCAGCATACATACTTTTGCAAGAATCCCTTTGCTTAAATACTGCAATAACCAGTCATTTAAAAGATGTAATGTAGAAGCATTACGAGAGCATTCCCCATCACATATTGAAAAATACAGAAAGCAGACTTCAAAAAACTAACATCCCAAAATAATTACTAAACTGGTAGTCAAAAGTATTTTTCAGAGCTGGAAAACAAAAACTGTATCACTGTAGAACTTGATAACAAGTAGTCTGTATTTATTCCTCTGCAGTAGTTAGTCTGAAGGGGCAAAACCAACCAAACTAAGATATGTTTTCAAGACCGTGCCTGTGATAAAAGCTAAAATATTTTTCTGATCAGTGTTAGGGGAATGAACATGGACTTTAAGTAAGATGCTACATAAACCCATTCCAATGCTTATTTACATCAGTTCTTTCTCTCACACCATTAGTTGTATTAAAATAGCACCAACGTAAAATATCAAACTCCTAAAACGATCAGTAGTCAAACATATGTTTCTGAATAATTTCATTTCAAAACAGCATGCTTTTTCCCAACAGTTTTATTCTTAAGAGTGTTAATTTTGCAAAAGATCTGTGAATAAATGGATGAAATTTGCGTTACCAAGCAGTTTCACTGTTCTACTATATTTATGTCAACGTTCATTCAAATTCAACCATTAAGCTCAATTAATATTAATAAGACACATGCACACTGCACAATAATACACGGAGTTTCCTAGCAGCACGATCATGGCATATGATAGGCCACTTAAAGGCGAACTTACTTTTTAATTTCTTCTTCAACCACATTAACACCATCTTTTTGGGGATTCAGATATTTGTTAGTGGCACTGCCGAAATCACAGAGAACATAGTTCCCACTATCGTTTAACAATACGTTCTCCACCTCAAAAGGAAATCAACACACAGAAACATTAGATGAAAATAATAGCATTTACTTCCAAGTTAACTGTTACTATTTATTCTCACACACCAACAGTACAGTTAATCAGAAAAATCAGCTGATAAGTGTTGGCATTAGCACTAAGTGATGTCTTATGGTTTAGTCTCTCTGTTTACAGCTCCACCAACAGCAAGTTCTTCCCTAGCTAGAAGTCAGCCTTACTGAAATATTTCCTGTATCTCAACCCTTTTTAAGTAGACCGTCGATTAACGTAGATGTTCCTTTCTATTAAGTTCATACCTTTAGATCCCGGTGAACTATAGGTGTTTTGCACTGATGCAACCGGGCAACAGCTTCACAGATATCGCAAAATATCCTCATTACTTCTGACTCAGTAAAGCCTGTCTGTAGACGCTGATTCATCTGATTCACAACTTGCCCAGCTAAAGAAACAGCAAGATAATTACTTTTTTTTTTAATAGTTTCTATCCTGTACAAAAAACTGACTTATATGCAAGAAGTCCACAAACAAGATGCAAAAAAGTCTTCCACAGGTGTTGTATTTAAATAAAATCAACCTGGTTTTCCAAATGTGTACTCTTGAATCATAATAGACAGAAAAATTATTGTCTCTAAGAAAAAAAAAGTCCCTACAACTGAAACCCCTTTGGGACAAACTGTCACAAACACAAAGAAGCATCCATCACACGTCACCTCAAAAGCATCTCTTCTGTTTAGATCCATAGCCAAAACCCTGTCAGCCAACCAAGTACAATTTAATTCGTATTCTAGACACTGTCTCTCTGTCTTTCTGGGAGACAAAGTAGGGGGAGGAGGGTTGGAAAAAGGGAAAGAGACCTCTGAATCCACCTTTTGAGAAAGATCTCACTTAAGCTCTTCATAGGTTTCTTTCTAAGGTCAGGAATCATCATTTCCCTATTTCTTGAAGTAATTTTACCAGATAATGCTAGGTTCTTCCTACCAGAATGCTTGCTTAACACTAAGAGATGAAGAAATACCCAATATCTACAGGGCTTTGGTGAGCATTCCATCAAAACAAGGATGCTTTGAAAAGAAGTTTAACACTGTCAAGTCATCTGACATTTGACACCCACACGGCTATTGACCATTATAATTAAGGAAAGAGTGCTACCAACAGGGAGTCAGAAGCAAGTTCCCAGAAGTGTACAGAAATTCACCCGTACAAACAGCATCCGGGGCCAAAAATGTGGCCATTAGTTTTAAAGTTATCTCCTTATTCCCTTCCCCAAAACATACATCAAGATAGTCTTCAGGTCCTTATGGCACAGGTTGCACAAGCTGTAATGTTTACTGCTTCTACTGCATATAAAACCAGTGTAAACCTCCACTGAAATTAGTCTTCAAGCACTACGGACGATGGGGTCCATTTTCTTTCTAGTCTAGAAATATTTACTTTGTACTTGCAGCATTTATTCTAACATTGTCTATCTGGGTTAACCACCATCTCATCCTATGAGGTCAGTGCCTAGGTACCCTAAATTTTTATAAACTTCAGCAGTTAAAACTCAATGGCAAATTTATTCCAATGCATATTGGCAAAGAAAAAAAGTCATCTAGAAACTAGCTGGTTTTACATATTGTTTGAAATAAAGTGATAAAGCGGGACCACGGCATTATTGCTATTATTTATTTATTTTGCCAACATTTTCAACACTAGATATGGCACGCTCATTTAAAACAAATCACCTGCCAGATAAGAGTAAAGCATCTTTAATAGTTATCTATAACAAAAATATCAGAGGGAGAACAGCAGTGAAAAGCTTGCCAATCTTTCCTAACAAATTATATTCTAGCAACATGCTGATTAGCACAAACAGCAGAACAGAATAACTTCACTTTATACTTATAGAAATAGTTTCCCCGTTCTTAATCATACTTAATTACAAAGCCACCATTAGAAAGTCAGTGAAACTGACCTTTACATTCTCTCCATGTTCAACAGCTCAGGGCTTAAGTAACAATGCAAACAGAAAAGCAAAAAAAAAAAAAAAAAACCTAACTGGATTCCAGCTGTAAGCTATCTATGTTAACCTTTTACATTAAGGAAACAATTTTAAGTAAAAATCCCAACTGATCGATACAAAAATTTTCCCTGAATTTACTCTGAAAACCTAAGAGTTGATTCTTACCTCGACAGTACTCCATGAGAATGAGCACCTCCCAAACATTATCACTTATAGTGTTAACAGCACAATCCAAATAGCTCACAATGTTCTTGTGCCCAGATAACTCTTTCTGAAAAAGAAAATGTACATTGCACTTCAGCATAGAAAAATGTAAACCAAAGACAGTACAAGTTTTCAGAGAATCATTTATGATATCAAGTTAAGTCTGCCCCTGACCCACTTCCACTACTTTTAAGAAAGTACCAGCAAACACAGAACATAAGCTTATTGCTGCCAGCAATGTGAGAGCAACTGCTTGATATCCAACACAATGCAACTACTAATCAGAAAAGAACATTTTCATGCTTGTTGGACAGTGCAAACACATCTGAACTGTTGCATTCTAAAACAATGCTGTGAAGTAGTAATAGCTAGAGCCTTTATATATAGGAAATAAAGAAGAATCAAGCTACTCATGTCCATCCTAACATAAATTGAAAAATTGTCTCAGTTATTCAAAAAAGTAGCTGGGAAAAAGCCACAACTGCTATAATAGAAGTGTTTGTACATAAGAAACTGAAGATATTCCCAAGGGAAAAAAAAAAAAGTTTTAAGCAGTTTTAAGACCAATTTTACATGCAGAATTAAGCTATGATTATTCCACATCAAACCATACATGTGTTCTTATCTGTGCTTCAGAGTTTCTACCTACTAAATAACTTAAAGTTCGCATAAACGTACCTTTTATATCAGATAATGAAATAGGTGCTGGAATGATTAGAATACATGTAAGCTAGAAGTGTATGAAGATAAACAGTTGTCATAGTATCTGCTGGAAAGCAATGTAACATTTTCTCTTGCCCTGTCAGCAACCAATTATTTTTTTCTTAATTATTGTTTTTTTAAATCTGTCAAGTCGTCAAACTCAACTGTGTCTGACTACACCTTCTAGTTTCTCCTTATTTGCTAGTTATCTGCTGAAAAACAATAGGAACTATGATGATGTAGGAGAGTTCAGCTACACACATATGAGCTAACTCAATACCGGACTACAACTTCAAGAAGGTGCTTATGCCTACTCAAGACGATAATACTCGTGGAAGTCATAAGCAGTATTATTCAGCTAACAGCTGTGGCACAGAGGCCTGGAGAATTTAAGTTACCGCTGCAGAACTGGAAGAAATTACTTTCACTTGGGAATCAAATGTACTGACCAAATTGATCATGGTACAAAATACGTTCCTTGTAATTGCTTTACAAGTTAATCATGCATCAACCCTAAACTCAGCATTAGTTTCCGAAACTAACAGTGCAAAATTAGAACTGCAAGGTCAAAAGAAAGTTGTCACTGAAGAGGTATTTGGTGTACATACATTACAAATTAATAAATTCTGTAGTTATAAATAATGGGCTTCTTACCATAATTGTAATCTCTCTCTTGCATATGTTGAGATCCAGCACATTATTAACATACATTCGTTTCAGTGCACAACGTATCCCACCATGGGTACGTACCAGAAACACAGTTGAAAAGCCACCTGGAAAAAACAATTACAAGCAAATGAAGCTATTTGAGTTTCTGTTATTCCTCTAGCCAACATCACTACATGCTAAAAAAAACCATTAAGAAAGTCTATGGCAGTCCCTGCTTGCGCAGTCCTGGACACTTGAAAAGTTAACATTTGGCAACCTCAGTCCATTTGACATAGGTGAAGTAATCCTGACAACATAAGGATCTTACTATTTTGTTACAACATTAAACACAACTATTTTAAAAGCATTTTCACATTCAAATAATTTTAGAAAGCCTCGTGTGAATTGTCTATTTGGTTATCAACCCTGAAGTACTTTCAGAGTCACCCAGAAATCTAAACAAAGTGACAGTATTCTCCATATTTTCTTAATTTCTAAATCCCTCAATATTTATAAAGGTTAACACTAATTTGCTAAATCTACATTTTAAAACATAAGGATTAAAATATTCAGAAAAGAGAAAGGCTTGAGAGATACTGAAGTAGTCATGGAACTTTTCATGATAGCCTTCAGACAAGTAGAACCTCCCGGCAATCACAGACGGAGCAAGAAATCAGCTCTGAAGTACAGATTTTATTTAAACCCATACTAAATACACAGTTAAGAATGAAACATTTTCCCACAGCTAGTCCCATCAGGAGCATTCCTCATCCAACAGTGGCATGAACTGTGAGCCATATACTGAAGCCCACCTCCCAGCTCCCCAGTACGAGGTTTTTCCTTTTCTCTTCACTCGTAGAGAAGAACCATGCGGACTGAAATTATACACAGAAGTGAGGTCAAACTTCCAAACACTCAGGCAAACACAACACACTCCTCTTATCTATCCTCTGTTAGTCTTAACTCCTGCTCAAGGTCTCAAGCTGATTACATTAGCATCACCTCAAGGTTCACACACACAGCTTTCCCACAGTTTTAGGAAATCTGCCTCACAGAAGAGCTTATGTAAATCCATACCTTCCTTAACTGACTGCTGTCTGATGGTAAGCCAGCTATTGCCATGGGAACTTTAAACTAGTGCAAACACTCAGGTATACAGTCAGGACAAATATGTAAATTAGAATGATTAACTACTCTGATAATCAGGCAGCCAAATGTAACACACGCGTTTCATGTTTCCTGATACAATCTGCAAGCAGGCTTCTTAAGTATAATGCACCTCATTTGATATGAGTCTCATGTGCTTGAACAAATGTGCACGTAATAGTTTACAACTGAAGAAGCTAAGTTTTATTATGAAATTTTCTTGAAGATTAAATATCTATTATTTTTTAACTTAATTGCTCATTTAGCCAAATGAGATGTCAAAACAGAATTACTGCCAATTTTAATACAACAGCCTAAATTCTGCAAAATTATTATACTTCACCTAGTTTACATAGGGGCCATCCCAAAACATTAACAGGACAGCCACTTTTAAGTTACTCAAGTTCTGATGCCAAACTCCAACTGAGACTGAAATGATCCTATAAGGCTCCCCTAATACCAGCCTGTGGAATTATGTTAAGAGTGATGTGCAGACCTTCATTAGTGGAAGACTGGTTTTGTACTATCCTTCCAATAAAAAGAGACCTCTCTTTTAAGCACCAGTACTTGACCAAAAATATAAAGCAGTACTCAGGTGAGGCACAAAAGTAACAATCAGAAGACAAAAACAACTTCCTGGCTTTTTAACCAGTTTTATAGCCTTAAAATTCTCTATGACTACCAAGAGAACAGGAACAAAATGCTGGATTTCAGGTTTCCCTGACAATTGCTTTTATGTAACCAGAGCAGACATGACTGGGTAAAAAAAATCGGTAGAAAGTACCGAAAAAAATCGAAATGCTCAGACAACTGTTCTTCTTGCCATTAGGTGGCAATATTAACCAATACTGGAACCCTGAAAGAGCCACAAAAACAGACCTATTCCCCATTTTGACAGTAAGTAGGTATGTGACCTTGAATGGTTTTCCACCAGCAAATATCACCACTATAAATATCCTTTCATCAAAGATCCAAGTGGCCTAACTCTGAAGAAAACTTGAATAAGTATATTAATTTTTACAGGAAAATTAAATAGTCACTAATGTTCTGGGAATCTTTATCCAGCAAAACCCCGAATCAGTAAGCTTTAAACCTTTTAACCTGTTTCCAATGTTAAACTTCTCACTGAAAGCACCGAAACAAGCAATAATCAGTGCTGTAAATATTCACAAAAAGTCTTATTAAACACTGCTATCCAGGGGCAGGGGAAGGAGGTGAGTACCTACATGGCCTCATCCTATACAGAAACACAACCAGAAATAAGAGATTGCAGACCGAACAGAACTACACTTCCACATGTCCATCAGCACAGGAGCTGGTATTTCACCAATATTTGCAGAAGATGAAAAAAATCATTATCTGCACTCAGTTTTCCATAACACAATGCATCACAAAAAGCTTAAAACAAAACTGTCATAAGATATAGCACAGAAAAAGATGCCAAGGAAGTTCCAGATGTTAAGCCACCACCTTCCCTACATATTTCCATTCCTTACCACCCATCACAACAATTCCAGTTGCTTTCTTAAATTCCTGATATAGACAAGTCACAACTCCCCCAGAGCATCCCACAAGCACCTCCCCATCTTCCCATGGACAAGAACTGCTGCAGTTGGGGCCCACGGGTACGCAGGCACTGAATGACTAGCATGTATTCTTCACCTACTGCGCAACAGGCAACAACTTTGCCAACTTGGGAGGCCTTTCCATCAAAAAAGCAACATATCTTTGGGTGGTATTACTTATGAAAGCACCAAAATTTACAGCACCTTCGTTTATAAACTGACAGAAAGGGCATAGCAACCAAATATAATAACTTAAACTGCACATGTGCTCAGGCTGTCAACAGGTTTAACAAAACAATTCTATGAACTTTATTGCCCTTAGGCATTTCAGTATTTCAGTGTAGCAAGCCATTTAGCCTACTTATCACTAAATAATTTAAATATCACCTAAAAATTGCCACTAACTTATTCAAAACAACAGTACCTAAGGCTACCAGGCATAGGCAGAAAGCATAATGCCACAATTCTACTTTGTCTCCTTTGTTCCACATTGTCAAGAACCAATTCAAATGTAAACTGAAAGGCCACAGAAAAAGCAATTAAGGAAACCATAGCACCCATAACAGTCAGGACTCCAAACCTGAATATGGGACTGACCACAGTTCTGAAGAGACTCACATGCAAAGCAAAGGCACCAAAAAAAAGTATCTTTTTGCATGATGACAGCAGCACTGCATTTAGCCAGCTTGTGTTGGCCCACATGAACTTTTCAAGAACATCCTGCAGCCTTGCTGCTAAGCATGAATCTATGAGGCACCACATCTGTGGGCCTCACAACCACGACTTGCCTCTGTTACTCTGAGACCTTGCCGCAGAGGGCCAGCAAGATGCTATTTTCCCCTCAAAATATACACATCCTGTTCATTGTGTGCTGTACTATTAGAAGCAAGTTATCTCTATCCCCTTTTCCAGATTTGAGACTTTGTAGTGGTTTTGGCTGGGATAGAGTTGAATGTCTTCACAGTAGTTTGCACGGGGCTATGTTTTGGATTTGTTCTGGAAATAGCATTGATAACACACTGATGTTTTAGTTACTGCTGAACAGTGTTTATACAGCCCCAAGGTCTTGCCTGCTCCTCACACTGCTCTGCCAGCCAGCAGCCTGGGGGGTGCACAGAAAGCTGGGAGGGGACACCACAGGGACAGCTGACCCCAGCTGACCAAAGGGACATCATGATGCTTCAGCAATAGAATCTGGGGGAACAGGAAGGGGCAAGACATTGGGAGTGATTGCATTTGTCTTTCCAAGTCAGTTACACATGATAGAGACCTGTTTTCCTGGAGATGGGCTTCCCCTGCTGCCAAGGGGAAGTAACCAATTAAATTCCTATCTTGTTTTGCTTGTATGCTTTTGCTTTACCTGCTAAACTGCCTTTATTTCCACCCACAAGTTATTTCACTTTTGTCCTTTCAATTCTCTCCCTCATCGCACCGGAGGTGAGCGAGCAAGCGGCTGCGTGGGGCTTAGCTGCCATCCAGGGTTAAACCACAAGAGACTTGCAGGAGCTGAATCTAGTGTCCTTTTTATTTCCATTGAACTAATCCAAGACTTAAGTACAAAAAAGTTACACAGGACAGTAACATTGCACAAGTCACTTCTCAAAATACTTTCTAAAAAGCCTTTCTATAGCATCTACAATTATGTAAATCAGTAGATATTTAGCAGAATTAAAACCCCAAAGCTGTGACAGATAAAGTCATTACAAAGCTCTGCAAGTTTAAATTCACACCTCTTCCTTATCTTGTACAGTCATTTATTTCAACTTAACTATCTACTTTTGGGATCTTATTAACAAGCTAACTAGTAACATTTTGGGGATTGGGGGGGGGGGGGGGGGGGAAGAAAAGTTGGGAGTGTTTGATTAAATTCTACATCAGTCTCATTTTCTACTCTTTTTTCCTATGCATATTTCATGACCTTGAAAAATTTCACAGGCCTCAATATTCTATTTATGCTTTACCACGTTACATTCCTGCAACTCCAACCAGAAAACAGCATAGCTGCGAGATTTCAAAATATCCTATTTGCTTACTCAGGTAGAACAAAATAAGGCTTAAGAGTCTTCCAGTAGCTTTACCATCTTTCAGACTGCTGACAACCGTCTTGGGAAGACAGGCTAGCATAATATCAACAGAGTTGATATCTGCCTGGATCATTTCATACACATCTGCACTGTTACTTCTAGAGCCAAAAGTCACCCAGATGTCTCAATTATCTTTCAAAATCAGGCTGATGTGCAGCCAGAAACGCCCTCCTTCAGAAGTTACACACCTCCTGAAAACACATAGCCTTCTGAGCACTACCCTTGGCAAGCCCAATGCACAAGCATGAAACATTTTATTGACTATGAGCCCACTCAGAGTACAGAGTAAGACCAGTCCCTCTCAAAGTAGTAGCGTGAATGCCCTGCAGA